GCTTTTGTCTCGGAGAAAAAAAAGTCTAGAGAGCTAGATTTTTAGAGAGCATTAAAAAAAAAACTTGTCTGAATTATTGATTCATAGCTTTATAACCACCCAGTATAGTAAGGACATTTATAGATTTCATGAGCTGTTTAATATCTATTTGTGGAGCACCACCATGTGCAATCATCTTGGACTCATTATGTTTCTTTGGCTGCCCAATGAGTCATAATGAGCCTCTGAAAAATGTAGAATAATGGTTTAGAACTAGAGGGAATGAAATAACAGTCAAAGTCAAATATAAAATTATTAGTACATGTAGTCTGTGAGAGCAATCAAGACAAGGAAGGGATAGAGGGCCTATTATTACATACACATGTGTGCACACGAATGTGCATGCACAAACTTTAAACGGTTTGCACTAAAGGGGGAGGTAGCTGGGGAGTCCTATGAAGAAGCTTCTTAAAAGTGATGGGTTGCAGACCTATTTTCCATTAAGATTCAAGCACGTGGGGGTAGGGAGCTCAAATTATGGGGAGGAAATCGAAAAGCCAATGGAGACCCTTCTGAGAAGATGAAGCCCTATACTGAGAGGATAAAAGAGACTTTATTCTCCAGCAGTTAACATGAAGAGGAAGAGATCATTTCTAAACAGGGCACAAGAAATAGCTTCATTTTTCCCTATTAACCTCTGTTCCTCCAAAGAAAGCCAGTTGAAGCAAGCAGGACAAAAGAATTCTACGTAAGCACGGTGAAGAATACCTTCTGTGATGGGACCCATATTTTGAAAAAATATTAATGTAATTTTCTCTTTCAGTTTTGCAAGTATGGGTCTTTATTTCTAATTGGTTCCAAGGTCATCAGCCGAGAGGTCTGTGGGTGTGTCCTACTGTATGCAAAGGGAAAGAAAGAGTGATATTCAGCATTCAATATTTAAAATAGGATTGCAAGCAAGATAATAGTCTTGAAAGAAGACTTTTTATTCTGAGACCCATCTGAATTGGTTTATCTCCTCCTTTGGCCTATGTACTCAATTCTTATCATTTTATGTTGTCTCTGCATCCATTTTGAATAGAGATTGGACTTTCTCATACAGAAGCAGGGCTTTATCTTCTTTGACACAGTTTCCGGTTTTCTGCCTCCTCCCAGTTCCTCAACCTGGGTAATCCAGATATCTGCCCTATACAACTCCTTTCCCCTGGCAACCACCTCCCTAGGCAACAGTTAGACACAGCCTGCTTGACTTGCCTCACTGATCTCCACACCCCATGTGGACTGCACAGATGTGCCCCAATGACCACTTCTCACTCACAGCACAACTCCATGGAATTCACGTCTGCTTGCTCTAAACCCACCAGTTAAAACTCCCCAAGGAAACCTGCTTAGGTAATGCCCTGGACCCCAGTAAAGGCTTTGATCTTCAGGTTTTTCTCTCTTCCTTGCTCTCTTCCCACTGGGTGAGGACGTATGTCTCTGATGGCTCCTCTGTCCCATTGGCCCTGCAAAGCATGCTGCCCTCCTTTCTCTGGGATCTGTAAATAGCAACTGCTTCTGGTATTTCATGTGTTTTATGGAGTTGCCTCCTCTGTGTCTCACCTGACCAACACACCTGAACCTAACTTCTTTCCAAGTCATGGCTCTCCTAGAGAATGGCTATCTTGGCAGGAATAAACGGGACACAGTCCAGATAAGAGCCACAAGGGGATCTGCCAGTATAAACAAGTTTCCTGTGAGAGGGACACCTGGTTGCAGGTCGAATACTCAGGCATGAGGCTGTCCACCAAGATAAAGAAGCACCCCATGAAAGGCACACTGTAAACATTTACAAGAAAATCCTGGAGCCCTGTCAAGTCAGCACTAGAGTTTATATTCACTGTATAGAGAGAGACCTTAAGAACAAATTAGAACTACAGCAGCCTGTATTCGGCACCAACAGGAATCACCTAGATCTACAAGTTTCCCTGCAGGGTAGAAAAGTGATTCTTTTGGAGACAACAGGTAGGCCATGACGCTTGCTGGCCCATGAGTAGAGGAGATACCACGGAAGAAGACAGGCAAGCCCTGCTCTTCCCGTCCCAGGAGATGATGAGAGGAAAAACGTGAGAGTGAAGAGGAGGGGGCTGATTTAGGACTATCCAAAAGGAGTTACTGCAAACACCGAAGAGGCACTGAGACAAAATAGAGAAGCCTTGTCAAGGGGATGGAGTGGGGTTGGGAAGAGAGTCTAGTCTGCCCTTCTGGAAGACTCCATCAGTTGCTATCTGGTAATGAGAGACTGAATATACAAATGGACAACGACCAGAATATACTTAAAAATAGAACTCCGACCCACAATCTGCAGGAACCTGCCCACCTTAGCTACATAACACCCACCCCCGCCCCCGCCATCTACAATAACCAGCCTAGAAAACCAGCCTGCCTGGATTAGACTTGCAGGAAGCCAGATTGCTGTTTCTAGTAACAATCAATGAAGCTGAACAGTAACTTCTGTAATCATCTGCAAAAAATGACCAGAACTTTATGAATGATGGACAGCTTCTCTAATGTATGTCCATGCTTCCAATGTAGGGCCAACCAAAGCAAGGCAAATATTCACCCCTAAGGAATCAGATAGGCTGCCCCCACTCCTAGTGAGCCAGCCACCTCCAGCTTCCCATGCCAACAGCCTCCAATCAGCACATACCTGGAGCCTTCCCTTCATCCCACCCTAAAGTTCCTCCACTCCTCTGCCTGCTTTTTCATTGCTGCCAAAAGTGACAGTGGCAGACTCCCTTGCTATAGAAAGCTCTGAATAAATAGCCTTTGCTTTTCTCATTTGGTTGGTCTTCGTTTATTTCTATAGTAGAGAAGCTAAGAATAGAGTCAGTTGGTCTAACATGAGGGCCTCTATGTCAGGAAATAGATTGTCTAGGCTGGAGAATTGAATGAGGAATCAGAGTGTGTTACAAATGGCTATTGCTGAGGGAAGATCAAGTTACCCAGAGAGAACTGTCAGGCCTGACCAAGAGAGAGGAACTGGAACAAGTATTATCCTGGCTGTGAACTTGAGCTATGAACTCCGGTGGGGTAAGTAGCAAGCAAGTGATTCCAGGAGCCAGGCCCTGGACCTTGACCTGCCTATTCTTCCTTCTAAAAGAAGACACGTAAGTCACATTCCTTCCCCTGCATACCAAGAAAGCATCTGGGAGAGGAGCTGCAGAGAAGAGTAGACGTGTGAAAAATTGGAGTAATGGGCATTTTTACTTAAAGAGGCATAGAGGCTGGGTATTTGTTAAAGGGGCTGTTTAAATGACTGCATCATCAGCTGTTATTGCTGTTATTTCCCCACTAACTAGCTCACCCATAAAAGCATATCAGTTATAAGAAAAATATTAAAGCCATATTTTTTCTTCATGTTTAAGTTGTAATTAAGCAGATTTTGTAATTTCATAAGAACTGAAATTAACATATTTTCTTGTTCCTGTGCTAAACAATTCTGGAATAAAGAATAGTTTCCTGGTTTTCAGTTGAGCAATGCTGAGATCAGGCAAAAACAACTGGCCTCTTTACTCCAGTGAATACCTGCTCCTGGAAAATAAGACTGGAACTGCTGAAATATCTGACTTATCAGGTCTAACAGGTTACTCATCCAAACTCACTTTTATATTCTCACCTTGTGGTGCCTACCAATCCAAAGCTATTGCACTATAAATTCTGCCCAATCCCAACCAGTTCCCTGCCTTTCAAGACCCACTTAAGAATCACTCAGCCTGGGCTCTAAAACCCCAAAAAATCCTCCCCTGACTTCTCTCTTCTGAGATACTACTAGATTCTGTATCTAGATCAAGCTGATATTCTCTTACTGCAGTAAGTCTATAAAAACCTAGCTTTGCTTAACCAACATTTTTTTTTTCTGGTGGTCTTTTTGGATACCCCATAGCCAGTGCCATTATGCTTTAAATTGTGTGTTCTGGCTATGGAATGCTAGGGGAAAACAGCCACAGGCAACAAATTAATCACATAGCTACAGGAAATGGATGAATTCTTTCTGAGCAAAAGTGACTACAACCCGGGAGACACAACGTTAGAAGTATACATCTAGGAGAAGCCACAGACACCTATCCTAGTAGAAAAGACACAAGGCATATAGCTTCTGTACACGGAGGAGAGCAATCATACCACTTCTATTTTCAGTCATTTCCTGTACACACAAAAAGCAACAATTTAATTTAAGAAGAAAACTATACAAAAGGACATATACAGTCTACATAAATGTATGCACAGATATGAAGCATAGTTGGGATCATGCAAGTTCAGGGGTTCTTTTTCCATACCTTGTATTAAATTCACTTAGTATTTAGAGAAGATGACATGGTTTGGCTGTGTCCCCACCCAAACCTCATTTGCATTATAGCTCCCATAATCCCCACGTGTCATAGGGGGACCTGGTGGGAGGTAATTGAATAATGGGAATGGGTTTTTTCCCATCCTGTTCTCATGATAGTAAATAAGTCTCATGAAATCTGATGGTTTATAAAGGGCAGTTCCCCTGCACACACTCTCTTGCCTACCACCACGTAAGACCTGCCTTTGCTTCTCCTTTGCCTTCCACCGTGATTGTGAGGCTTCCCCACCCATGTGGAACTCTAAGTCCATTAATCCTCTTTTGCTTTATAAATTACCCAGTCTTGGGTATTTCTTTATAGCAATATGAAAATGGACTAATAGAGAAGAAAAGGAAGAAGAAGGAGGAGGAGGATGAGAAGAAGAAGGCCCAGAGTTTCCTAAGACTCCTGTGGACCAGATAACTTGATGTTCTCCTTTTCAGAGCCCTCACATAGAAAAGCTAAAAGAATAGGACTATGGATATGGAAAAAGCTTGACAAGAGTACATGCCCAATGTTTCCTGCTTAATATGTTCACTTTGCACACCCACTTAGCATAGTCCCTTCCCATGGCCCCAGGGGCTGTGCTTCAGGTTGCCCACATAAGCATTTCTATTGTATCCTGACACTGAGCATCAATTCCTCAGGTACCTCAATCTGCGATTCTCATCCATGTCATCCTCAACACCTCATGCTTCATTCCCTCTCCTTGGCTGACAGTGAGAACTTGGAGGGCACTTGCTTCTATAGTTAGTCATCAGATGAGAGTTGGCTGAATCTTGGAAGCAGCTAGAACATTTGCTCAGCACCACCTCAGATGAGCTGTCATCTCCCTGCTGTCGGTTATGATTGCACTGCCCTGGTTTCTTGGGCTGCCACTGCCTCGTGTCAGGCCCCCTCAAAGACCTTGGCCTTCACAGCAGCTGGTATGTCTTGCTCTCTGCACAGACTGACTGCCCACCTGGGAGGCCCAAGAGAAACCAAACTCTCCAGCGTGATTCAGCAAAAGAACTGGGTTACTGTTGCTGGCAGATACCATCCTGTTTCTGCTTTTCTCCTCATACAGCTGTGACTAGCCCAGAAAGTCATTTTCTGCCCCCAAACATCTGTTCTCCAAACAACTCTTTGTCAGTCCTCCCACCCTCTAGATCTTCATATTTCATAATTGTAGTACCATCTTGTTACAGCAAAGTTGGCTGAAAGAAGTATGATTATGTAAGTTGGAGGACAAAAAGATTTTTCATGGGAAACAAATATTTAAATTTAAGTTCTTAAAAGTTAAAAAAAAATACTTTTCTTTAGAGATGGGGTCTTGCTCTGTTGCCTGGGCTCAAATGATTCTCCAGAGTAACTGGGACTACAGGAATGAGCCACTTCATTTGGTTCTAAAAAAGGTTGTTGTTGTTGTTTTTGGTGAGAAAATATTGTACTTATTTTATGTAACTTCATCGCACTGAAACAGTTGGTGGAAATTACAGAAATGGAACTCTTTGCTGTAACAAGGGAGTACTTGTGATAGCTCTTGGTTATAGCCGCTGCACATATTAAATGAACAAATCTACCGTACCTGTAAAGTTTCTAGATTTCAGTGCAGATCATTTCTGGTGTTCTCTTTGTGAACATCTGTCAAGCTTATGACCTATATACTTTTTTGTATGTATGTTATTTTTCAGTAAAAAGTGCAAAAAATGAGCAGGCCCATCCCTTCATGCATGTGTGTCCTATTGGTGAGGCTTTTGAAGCAGAGACCAAATGACATCTTATTTGGACAATCATAGGAGAGTCACACCTAGGACAGAAAGCTGGATAGCACCTCAGTTTCTTTAGACTTCATAATGATTCTGTTTTCTGTTTCTTCCTGAGATTGAGAATCAGCACAGCGTACAGGCTCCTGCCGCCAAAATCAACCCTTGAGAAACCGTAGAAGCAAGAGGGAAAGATGAATTCCAGGAACTGACAACACTTGCAACCACACCAAACCTTGGGAAACCTCTGGAGTGACAGCAGCTTGTCTTGTCTGGCGTGGGGCAGGGGACATAGTGGCTTCAGCTGGGGGCTGGGAGAAGAGGCCCAAAGTCGCCTTGGAAGAAGAGGTTGGAGGTAAGCTTTACAAATTCTGCTCTGGTGTCCCCACATCTCCTCCAGCCAGGAGTTGCCTGAGGACAAGCTTTGACTGCGCCAGCACAGAAATGGCTACAGTAGCTTGGTGCCACTGTCCTGTTGTCTGAGGGCGTAGGGCTGGGGCAGCGCTCATATCTGGCAGAAGAAACCCTGATGGAAGGGGAGTTAAAAATAGAGGATGTTCAGCAGCTGCACTTAGGCTACCCCTCTTCCCTTCATCCTCAGCCCCCAGGCTGGCGGGTGACCACCTTGGAGATGGCCACCTACATGTGCTAAATCACTCGAAGGATTTCAAGTTAAACCTCCCCAGAGAGGTTTCTGGTGAGTGATGGACAGTGTTTTGGGTGGCTGGGCTCCCACCCTGGCCTGGAGCTTATGCCCTGATGCTCCTGTGACCCTCTGGGATGCACAGCACTGGAACCCCTAAATGGTATTCCGGGGGACTGCAAGTTCATCTGGGCACAACCATGCTCCTGCTGAAAAGGGCCACAGACTGTGCAGAAGTATTGCAAGAGTGGGGATTCAAACGGATTCTGATTAATGTGAGTGAAGAAATAAGGGAAGGTAATATCAATATAAAATACTGGGGGGCGGGGCTTAGCTCCCTTAGTGGTGGTTGGAGTGAAGGGAGGATGAACCATAGACCAGAGGGCAGTTCCCTTAGCCCCAGGCAGCAGTCACAGCTCACTTAATTTGCACAAAGTATACAGAGGGAGCTTGACCTCTTGCTCAAGAAAGAAAAAAAATACAGCTGGAGCTGGGACTGGGAGGGAGAGAAGGGGCTCTCTTCTGCATAGGCGGCTGTTTGCATTGCGTTGGAGTCCTCTGCCTGTACCTCCATCTGCCCTGGTGTGATAACATTTCACGATGAGAGCTGAAGAGGTGGCTCCCTCCTGCAGAGGTGCATGACTTGGCTGGAGTGTTTTGCTTCTCTGGCACACATTTTCTCTTTTCAAGTTAGCTGAGCTCACACATCCCCCTTGCTTGTTTGCAAAGTCCATATGGGAGATGAAGGCGAGGCGGTCTGATTAAGGGCAGAAGGAGGGGGTGAAGAGGAGGAAATGTGGGAGCTGGAATGCCTGGCCAGATCGAGCCTTCCTCAAATTAGGTCACTGTTTATATAAAAAGTTAAAATTAAACCAAGGACTGTCTTCCAAGGTTTCTGACTCTGGACATGGCTCCATGCAGCATCCTGGAATGCAGTGCAATAAACATCACAGAGCACATGACGTCACATGGAGGGAGAAGCCAGGGAATGTCACTAGCAACGAATCCCAGGCTCTACACAATTAGGCTGGAGACAGGCAACATCCTTTTTCTCTCCGACTCTTTCCTCTAGGATTTCCTGCTGGCTTTTTCTGTTCTTCTAATTCTCACATTTTTATCCATGAGGCAACCATGTGCCCTCAGTGCTACCACACACACAGGGGGCTCTAGGTTTCCATTTGGCCAATAGCATAAAGCTCTTCAACAAAGCTTTGACCTTCCTTCTCCTTTTGACAAATTGCTACGACCTTACCCTCCCACAGTGATTCCTCAACATGAAACAGCAAGGTAGGTTTCGTTATCACCAAACCGCAGATGGAAAAAGGAGGCTCAGAGACGTTTAAGGACTTCCCAAATATCACAGAGCAGGAGAGCGACTGAGAGGCACTCAAAGCAAGGTGGTCTGGGAGCTTCCCAGGATACCATGCCACCCTTCTGACTGCCCCTGTCCTGGCACAACTCCATAGGCTTGCCATGTTTAAGTGGCAATTAGAAGGGATGCTCCATGAGGGAAGGGACTCTGGCATATGCCTTAATGCACCTGTGGTGTCCAGCCCAGTGCTTGCTACATCATAGACATTCCAAAGTCTGTGCTCAGTGAAGATCCTTATGCATGCCCATTAGCCATGTGTTTGACTTTTTCCCTTGTAGCCTGGAAGGTCTTTGAAGGCCTGGATTATGATTTTTCTTTAATATAGGGCCAAGTCAATAACCTCAACCTCTGCCTCCATGGGATCTTAATCTTATGCCCAACTTAACTGATGAGCCCACTCAATCCACCAAGCAGCATTCTTTATACAGCTTCCCCAGTGTCACAAATCTATCCCTTCATGCCTGGGCATTGTTGACTCCATTGTTGACATCCTGTCTCAGCAGCTCCATCTGGTAGTCAGACTCCTCTTCCCTGCTTGAATTCTATATCTATGTTTTTAAATAAGCCAGAAAACGCTCACCCCGCCAGCTCCAAATTAGTTCTTCTTTTCATGCCTTTTCTGTTTCCTGGCTCCATGCCACAGTCTCCCTCCATTAGAATTAAGAAATGGTGCTCAGAGAGTCATATGTCTTCACCTAGTTAGCACCTCTCTTTTGGGACAGCTTCTCTGAGGGTGGCTCCCACACATGCCAGCCTTTTCTCCAGTTCCTAGGTTGTCAGCGTCAGGGGCAGGGAGGAGCATGTGTGAGGATGGGCGTGGTGGGGGAGGGGAGGGGAAGGTGCAGAACATTGTTATACGAGGCACTCTGTTGTGGTGATTGAAGGAAGCAGTTTCTTGGCCATGTGTCCAGGATGTGCTTTAAGGGAGCCAAGATGGATCATTCATATCTTATGAAGAGTTGTATTTGGAATCTTTAAATAAATAAGAAACGCTTGTCTCTCCTTATCTAACTCTCCATTTGTCTTTTTTTAAATCCTAAGCTTCATAAATATACCTGGAATTAAATCACCCCAAGTCACGGTTCCATAAAAGTCATTAGCCAGCAGAACCTCTCCCTCTGGGGCCACCTTTTTCTGGGAAGCTTCCTCAGTCCTGCCCTTCCTCCTCCCCCCACCCCCCACCCTACTGTACTCCCCACTCCCCCAAGGGGTCCTTTACAGCAGTTAGCACACTACGCTGGGGGTGAGATGAGCTCCCTCGTCTATCTCCCATTCCCTGTCTTTGCTATTCACACAGAGCCTGGCACATAACACAAAGTCAACAAAAGACTGTTGAGGGAATTAATAAATGAGTAAAATTTTCTTGACATTTAGTTTGAATGTTTATTCTCAGATTTCAACATAGGATTATCCCACAAGTACCACAAAAGCAGAAATTTCTTGAGAGGTATCTCATATGTGATTATTGAATTATTTTCTAGATTTTAATATATTCTGCTTTTGCATTCTTCCTGTTTCAGTTGCCTATTACTTGGTAACAATCTCCTCCCATTATTTAAAAGTTGATTGTTGACATGGCTCAGCTGGCAGTTCTTCAGCACCAAAGTGCAATAGCTCAGGTCCAGATGCATTTACCTGGAAGTTCACTGGGGCTTACACATCCTTGAAAGCCTCTTATTCTGTGGGGAGTCTTTCTCTATGTGGTTGCTCATCATTCAGTGATCTAGCCCAAACTTCTTTATAGAATGGCAGATAGCTTCTAAGAGGAAGCATTTTAAGAGGACAAGCCCCCAATGTGCAAACGCTTATCCAGCTTCTGTTCAGTCACACTTGCTGCCGTTCCATTGGCCAAAGCAAGTTTCATGGCCACGTCCTGTATCAATGTAGAAGGGATCATGCAAAGGCATATAATAGTCTACCACTGTTACAGAACCCAAGTGGGTCTCTTTCACCACCCTGCTTGTCTGAGGGCATGGGGGTAGAAAGCGAAACACTGAAGAGCTGAATTTTTGTAGAAAGAAAGGGTTATTGCAGGGCAGCCAAACAAGAAGATAGGAGGTGGGTTCAAATCTATCTCCTCATCTCAGTTCACAAGTAGTATATTTAAGGACAGCGGTTTTAAGAGGAGGATTTTGGGGGTGGTTAATGACTGGGGGAAAGAAAAGAGAAGCTAGGAAATTCTTTTGGGCATGCA